TTGAATTTAGTGTTAAATGCAGAGAAAGACACCAAGAGCTAAAGATAAAATTGTGGGCAAAAGCAGCAAACATTGTCCTAGAACGTGTCTTGTTTAAATTAGGTGGAGTTGGTCAGATATTCCAGCCTAAACGTTCATGAGTCCAAATAACCATAATTCATATCCATTTAAAATTTTGCCTTGGAAATTTTGTATAATGACAAGTAAAATATGATCATAAACCATAATTTTCTCCATTTAAATTTTCACTTGCAGATACGTGGGAGATTGCTATTTTCTTTTGTAAACCTATTTATAGTTCTTGCTACTCCCTCAACCCCCTCGAATATCTTAATTTTCAATTGCATTAGTATATCTTGTTTCACATGTATATTAAAAGGCAAAGTTCAGCTCTGTTTTATAAAGGTCAGTCAAATCCCTCTACTAATTTTCTTAAACATGAAGTTTGTTGGAGTTTCTTTTAAAAGAATTGGTTATATGTTTAAAGTAATAAAAAGTGCTGTTTTCATATACAAATAAGAGAATCTTGAGGTTAGTCCTTAGGTTTAAAATTAGAAAGATTATGAAACTTGGTCCTGACTTCCCTTTGCAAATTGTATTATCAATGACACAATGGGCTTACTTGGTCTTAGATAAGATTTGTGAAAGGAAAAGGAAATGGACTAATATGTATTAAATGTCCACGGTTAAAGCTGACATCCTCCGCAGTCTAAACAGAAGTTACCAAACAGATCTTACTGATAAGGATTTTCTTAAGACCACTAATTTTTAATCCCTCTGTAACACATAAAGAACGATTACTATGGTGTAACAAACAATTCCAGAATGGTTTTTACAGCTAGAGATCAGTATTGGTATCTTCACAATGGTCAGCTCAGGAATGAGTAATGGGTTATAATAGAGCCTTTTTAGGGACATTACAGTGTTGCTCACTCACACATTTGATGATTCTATCCCATGTTACATAATAAGGGTGAAATATTAAATTACAATTATTCATAGATACATGATATATATAGTTCCATCACATAATTAAAAAATTAAAATAACATCTAAAGACCTTGCAGTTTGCGCAAGCTCAGTTTTGCTGTATTGTGATTTTCTTGGGTTACAATATCTAAAACCATTGTTAATTTCAGAGAAGCGAGAATCATATAATCTAGCTATCTATCCAAATATCAACAGTCTAGAAAGTATCTGAGAAACATAATTACATTTAACCTTTGAGATATGTGATGAGCATCCCAATATACAGAAAACTATGTCTGAAAGAATTTTAAGTTATTTAGAGATGGCCTTACAATCATTAACTTTCTCCTTCTGCCACTGAAAAGAAAAATCTCAAAAGATCCTATTGTTCCTCCACCCAAAGATTCACTTGCTATTGTAAGAGTGTTAGTACAGAAATAGGAATAAAAAGCAGCTCCATTCCTTTCAATTTTTAATTTTCAACTAAGGATCATTGTAATTATACATTTGATAGTCTTTCACATTTTCCTTAGGAATACTTTGTTTTTACTTTTCTTTTATATGCAAATGTTTCTCCCACTAGACTGCAATCTTCTTGAGGGTGGAAAGCCGCTGTTTCTAATCCATCATTTTATCATCCATTGCTCTTAGAAGTGCTGTCCCTCAACTTTGCCATGGCAGTTTTTGTTGTTGTTGTTGTTGTTGTGTCATTGTTTACAGACGAGGTCTTTCTCTGTGCCCAGGCTGGAGTGCAGTGCTGCAATTATAACTCCTGGGCTCAAGTGATACCCTCTTCTCATCCTCTCGAGTGCCGAGGACCGCAGGTGTGCACCTGGATATTTTATTTTTATTTCTTTTTAAAAATTTTTTATTTTGTTCTCTCTGTCAGCATAACCATTTTATTTATTTATTTTTATTCTGTAGAGAAGAGGTCTTGCTATGTTGCCAGGCCAGTCTCTAACTTCTGGCCTTGGTGACTCTCCTACCTGGGCTGCTCAAAGCATTGGAAGTACAGGCATGAGCCACTGCACCTGGCCCTCATGCTGATTTCTTGATAACTGAATTCAGTTTATCCCTGGAAAAGCCAATTCCATCAAAGACTGGAAATGTATTTGTGTTATTTGAGTGGAATTTAGCCAGTTGTGGTTGATAATTTTCCAAGTATTTAGTTAAATTCAAGATTCAATTTTAGTAACCTGATGATTCTTTCTGTTCACCTTCTCTTCCTCCATGTAGTATCTACGATTTCACTTTCATGAGGAGGACTTCGGTGTTCATTTCCATATCCTGTCCTGGTCCTGGGTACCTGTCCTTGGTCTGTCTAGTGGTGCTTCCTGGGCCCCGCTGAGGTGTGTTTTCCCGCGGGTTTCCTCACACCTCACTGACTCACTGCTGATAGTTCCATGAGTGGAGAAGCTGGTGGTCCATTCCCTCCCACACGTTCAATGTGTAGAGCCAGGCCCACAGGCACTGCTTCCTCCCCCACTCCCTGTGATGTGGTCTTCTCTCCCTTCTCCCTGGGTTACTCAGCTTATACTCTTGGATATGGAGTCTCCTGAGTCTCTATGGCAACAATTCCCTAGCAATATGCTAATTCTCATTTCTTAGCCATCTTCTGTGTCTCCTATGAGGGCCATAGGACCTTTAATTGTCCTATTTCATGCGTGCTGTAGAGACAGAGAAGGAACGGGGAGTCGAGTGTGTGCTGGGCACCTGCAGGTCCTCTGTAAACGTCACGTCGTCATTTTTACTCTACTGTGTGGTGGCCTCCTCAGAATTCCAAACAGAAAGTGGACGGAAGTTTCCTGACATTGAATCCATAGAACTTAAATGCAGTTTCTAAACCCCTGAAACCCACCAGCGCTTTTCTATCAAGAGCAAGCCATGGGAGGTAGGGCCCACTGCAGCCCTATGCTTTCTCGACGGTTTCTCTGAATTTTCACTCCTTTCCACCCCCAGTCTCAGGTCCAAGAAAAAGGCTTTTATGGCACTCTTGTATCACATGAGAAAACTGTTGTTGTTGTTGGGTTTTTTTTCATACTTTTCATCTTACTAATGTTGTCGATTATAGTAAAAATTATATGGAAAGTTCACCGGACCTCTCTCTTGGTATTTAAAATCTAGCACCGAGCGTTCTTTTCTCACAAGTTTTATAGGATGGTAGACTTTCTTCAGAGTGTTTGAAAAGTCCTTTTTTAAAGTTAAAGCTGAAATGTGACTTCTTTGCTCTCAGCAGGGTTATACCCTTTCCAAGAACTACTGAGGAGTAGCAACATTTATACTTTGTGAATATCACTCATATAGCCTTAGTTTTTCCAGAAACAAAAATTCAAGAAAAAGTCATGTTCACAAATTCTGATCTGCTTCTCTCATTAACGACATTTATTAATTAAACAGCAAATGTTTCTCAAGAGCCTATTATATACCAGGCCATTCTAAATTCTGGGCTATGATACAGGACAAAAGACACAAAATATATAAAAAGACACTTAAAAAATTACACAACAAAAACATACACAAAGCCAATAAGCCTCAAAGATTTTAAGCAACTAAGAGTTTACGTATTAAGGCAAAAGAATCTTCATCTTGTAGTCAATAATAATTGGAACCCTGCACTATAAAATTCCGTGATTTCACAGAATTATACAAATATGACCGAAAGACATTTTACATTCAAATAATATGCTAGTTGTTGCCAAGTTTATTGTACCATCTCTGTCCATCTTTATCTGCCAAGATCTTATAGGAGATTTGTGCTTAACTCTCAGTTACCAACACCTTGCTTCATTTTCACTACAGCAATAGTGGTAGAATTTTCCTCTTTATGTATGATATTTCCAAGTTAGACTGAATTTTGTATAAACGTTTCACGAGAAAATCAAAGAGTGTCGTTGTCTTCATATATTTTGTGTATATTGCTAATATAGATCTTTTGGGCAACTAATTTTTTTAAATCTTCTTTACCAAACTGCCAGAATGAACAATTATTTGTTAATAATAAATAACTATATTTAATATTTAAGTGTTATATTTAAGCATTAAGTGCTGCCCCAAGTCTATTGTGAATTATTTCTTAATTTATAGCATGACTCTCAAATTTTTAAGTTATCACCCTCAGAAAATACACAGCAGGAAAATATAAAACACAATTAGAGGCAGTTTCAGAAAAGGTTACTTTTTTGTCATCCCTGGAGAGCCGATAAAAGGTTGGGTAAAACTTAGTTTTATTTCAAAATTAGAAGAATGTGTTTTTCTATTACAAAGTTTTTTTTACCAGTGGCAAATCCCACAGATCTGCAGCAAACTCCACCTGATCCTTGCCTCCTCGGAGGAAAGAATTCAGCTGAGGGGCAGAAGTAAGTTTAAGGCAGGGGAAGGCTGCAGGAGCAGGACTGAGAGTTTGTTAAAAAGTTGTGCACATGTACTCTAGAACTTAAAGTATAATAAAAAAAAAAAAAAAGAAAAAACAAAAGTTTCAGACCAGGAACGAAAGGAAGTAAAGTACACTTGGAAGAGGGCCCAGCGGGTGACTTCAGAGATCCAAGTGCCCTATTTCATCCTTGCCTTGGGGTTTTACACATCGGTGTGATTCTGGAGTTCGCAGTTCTACTCCCTTGAGTCTTCCCTCGGGGTGAGTTGTCTGCATGGGCAGAGGCCTGTCAGCACTTGGGAGGGGCCACATGCTCAGTGTGTTTACTGAAGTTGTGCGCATGCTCACTTGAGGCATTTTTCTTTTTTTTTTTTAATGTCTTAAAAAAAAGAAAACTATGATACATGTGCCCAATGTGCCGGTTTGTTACATAGATATGCATGTGTCGCGGTGCTTGGTTACCTGGGCACGCGGGTGCCGCGGTGCTTCGTCAGGTAGGCACCCGGGTGCCGCGGTGCTTCGTCAGGTAGGCACCCGGGTGCCGCGGTGCTTCGTCAGGTAGGCACCGGGTGCGCGATTGCTTGTCAGGTAGGCACCGGGTGCAGCGGTGCTTCGTCAGGTAGGCACCGGGTGCCGCGGTGGTGCCGCGGTGCTTCGTCAGGTAGGCACCCGGGTGCCGCGGTGCTTCATTACCTACGTACGCGGGTGCCGCGGAGCTTCATTACCTACGTACGCGGGTGCCGCGGTGCTTCATTACGTACGCACGCGGGTGCCGCCGTGCTTCCTTACGTACGTACGCGGGTGCCGCCGTGCTTCCTTACGTACGTACGCGGGTGCCGCCGTGCTTCGTTACGCGGGCATCCTGGTGCCGCGGTGCTTCGTTAGGCAAGCAGGCGGGTGCCGCGGTGCTTCGTTACCTAGGTACGCGGGTGCCGCGGTGGTTCCTTACGTAGGTACCTGGGTGTGCGTGTGCCATGGTGGTTTGCTACACCTATTGACCCGTCCTCTAAGTTCCTTCCCCTCACCCCTGACCCCTCAGCAGGGCCTGGTGTGTGTTGTTCCTACTTGAGGCGTTTTCCATTACCGGTTGACCATTCCTAGAGGAAGGTCATATACCAGTTAAAATGTGCTATTTTGTTTCTTGGTGCCCTGTTGGAGCGCAGTCATCCAGCTCCTGAGATCTTATGGGAAGCTGCTGATCACCAGCGTCAGGTATTTTCTGTCTGTTGGGAGACTGTCTTTCCCTGGCACTGGCTGCAACCAATTGTTATGTTACAGAGATAGTTTAATAACCACCTGACCATCACCTGATGGTCACCTGACATTCTTGGGGGTCATCACTCCTGCTTTACTCATGTCTGCATAACTGCCTACTCTAACAGCGTCTAAGAACGAGGAAACATGAGCTAAAATCCTGTCATTTTTCTTTGATTCATATTGTTTATTATGTATCTAAATAGTAATATGTGTTTCCCAGGGAGTTATACAAATCCTGAATTCTACAACACAATATTATTTCTACATATTCCAAAGATCTTACTAAAGCATACACTCCATGTCTGAACAACTCTCTTAATATCTGAGTGTCTGTCTAATCTTTCTATTTGCTGGTGAATGGAACTTGTCTGGTATTATCCTAGTAATTCCTCTGTGTACTTTATCAACTTTTTATGGTGCAACATGACAAGCAAAGGGGAGAGTTACTAATATTAAAGAGAGGGGGAAAAAAAGGTCGGGTGCAGAGGCTCATGGCTGTAATCCCAGCACTTTGGAAGGCCTAGGTGGCTGGATCATCTGAGGTTAGGAGTTTGAGACCAGCATGATCAACATGGAGAAACCCCTTCTCTACTAAAAATGCAAAAACTAGCTGGGCGTGGTGGCATGTGCCTGTAATCCCAGCTACTTGGGAGGCTGAGGCAGGAGAATCACTTGAATTTGGGAGGCGGAGGTTGCAGTGAACCGAGATTGTGCCATTGCACTCCAGCCTGGGCAACAAGAGTGAAACTCCCTCTCAAAAAAATAAACAAACAAAACCCAGAAGCAATGAGTCTCAGATTTCCCTTATAGAAATTCTGTATTATGTATAATTTTTATTAAGCATATGTAGATCAATGATGTGTCAGGAATCTCAATGAATCTTAATTATCTTAGTAGGAAACAATAGCCACTCAGTAGCTGCTTATGCTGTCACTTCTAAAGGTAGATTCTTTGGAAACTGTTGTTGAATGTGGCAGAGCAACCCTGAACTGCATTAAAAAGAAAAAAAATGGCTGCTCTCATTAAAAGCAAAACCTCAGTGCTCACGTTTGCAAATAAAAGCACTAGATTCAACCAGTTCAGACATTGCAAGAGGCCAGTGTACATCTTCTTTAGCTAAGTTAAGTTTCATGAGTCAAGACAACAATTTTACTTAGGAAGTCTTTTCTTAACATCGGCTCTAGAGAAGGTATCATTTGCATAAATGTTCTTCGTGGCATATATTAAAATTGTCCCTAAGGACAATTTGCTACCCTGCAGATATAAAACATTGAAAGCTGTTGTTTTTCTCCATAATCATGTGATTTAACAGGCTTAATTCTTTAGCTTTAAAGAGATTTATGCTTCTTAAAATAAGGACATACATATGTCATATATATAAAACTGTTGACACAAATTATTTCTGAATGTTAATGGTGTGTATTTCTGATTCTTGCCACCTCCATTATTTTCTAAAATTGCAATTGGAAGCAATTCCCTTATTTTTCATTTTTTGTATGGCTAAAACTGAGTGAAATTCAATTATCACAAAAATAGTGTGTTTTGATTTTGTGTGTCCTGGTACTTTTGAAATTTGGAGTGTGGCCCTATCACTCCCAAGCCATTGTGTTGTCTAAATCGATTGTCTTGGTAGGCGCACACAATGGCGAAATGTTTTCATGAATGCATAATGAGCCACATGCCCCATCTGAGCACTCAGAAACAGGGGAAGAGAATTAAAGTTAGGTTAGTGCTCATCTCTTGCCAGACTTTCTCTCCACCATTTTGTTTGGCTTCCTTTCAGATTCAGTGACAGAGAGGAGATATATCACCTGCCGCCAGAGAGAACAGGCCCCTCACCACCTTCCTGAGTTTACATAATGTTTAAAAACATATGTTGTCAAAGAAATATTAAGGAGTCAAATTTCACAATAATTTTAACATATTTCTCTGTTACACTCATGCACATTATTTTTAACTAATGATTGATAGGGGCTTATTATGTGAATAATTGATTTTGGTTTGGCTGCTGCATTTCTGATATTGCCACTGGCTGTTTGTGTATAGTTTATTCCATAAATTGTGTAGTGATACAGACCTTTGAAAGGAATGGACTGTGCTGTCTTTACATGTTCAAATCAAAATTTTTATACTTATGAATTTAAGTTTGATATTTTGCAAAATTGACCTTGCTAAGTCCTTCTCAAATAAGTTTCTTGTTTTGTTTTTGTTTTTTCTTGAACATATTTATTCGTTTCAGAGCTGGGGAAAATGACCTCTGAAAATTTAGAAGACTGGATGTCACTGACTACCAAATGATGATGACTTTGAATTAATAAAAATCCTTCAGTAATAATGTGTGGATTACTATGTTATTGGTAGAAATAATTTTTATGGTGTTGAAGAAAGACTAACCAATTCAGAGTTGGTATGTGATCTGTGCTACAATTTCCGTGGAAATGTATGTCTCTTTCTACAAAGACATGATTGTACATCAGTGGCACAAATGAGAAAGTGCTAATAACATTTTGGCCCCTACTATGAAGTGTGCATCTCTTGTCTTAGTTTTGCTTGTTACGTGTGGCTATAGAATTCTGAAATTTGGCGAATTGATGGAAATAAACTCAAAGTACCTCATACTGTTTCCTAGAACATTTACAAAGAATACTAAACATCTTATTGAGAATGCAACATTTCTTCCAAATGGTCAGGAAGAAGACAAAATTATTTATTCAGCAAATATTCATTAATAGCCTATGCTATGGGCAATGGATACAGAAATAAAAATAGGACATGATCCCTGCCTGCAGAAGCCTTCAAATCCTGTCATGGAGATAGACACAACAGGAGATAATAAAATAGGCTAAGGATTTGTTAGAAGGATGCACTCATGAGAGCAGAGAAAAGAAGAGAATCCAATTCAGGACAATGAATAGAGGCTACAGAGAAATTTTCTGAAAGTGATGCCAGAGCAAAGTCCTTACAGAAAGGAAGAGTAGGTGTTGTGTAGATCAAAATCAGGGGGGTTAGCATTTTAATAACAGGGGTCAGCTTACTCAAAGTCCTGTGGTAGGGCACTCCACAGTCTATGCAGGAAATGTAAGTGGGAAAGTCCTGTACAGATGGAGTCAGGAGCAGCCACCAGGTCACTGAGGTCCTGTGGTATGCTGCTAAGGCGGTGGTTCTTACACCAAAAAATAAGTCTGGTTTTATTTTTATTTAACTTTGATGGTGAGATGGTTAGATGCATACTTTAGGTAGCTTTCTAGTGGTTAGGTGGGAAGCAAGACTCAAACTCTTTCTGTAGGTACTGCTCTGGAGAACCCCAAACAAAGTGAGGGCCTGAAATTGGGCACTACCTGAGAGCCAGGTGTGTTCAGCCCAGAGGCTCCATCTTCCCTTTTCTTTGTCACCACGTGTGCAGTAAAGAAACAGGCAACATGGCGCCAGATTTCTGCATAAAAGATTAGAATGGGGGTGGCCAGATTTTTGCATGTTAGGCAAATGGCACACCTGGTCTGACCGATCTTTTGTGCCCTATGTTAAAAAACCCACCGCCTCCTCAAGCTCATCTATAAAACCTCCTGTAGTTCATCATGGAAGCAGCAACCCATTTTCTCTGGGACCCCTCTCTGTGCAGAGAGTTCTTCTCTTTCTTTCACCTATTAAACTTCTGCTCCTAACTTCACTCTGGTGGTCTGAGTCATAGCTTTCCGTGGCTGTGAGGGAATGAGTCTCAGGTATTACCCTAGACAATGAAGCCACTTCAATATGCCTCATTCTCTTTTATCATTTTATTTGTTGTTACCTCTTCTGTTCTTATGAAAACACAATCCTCATAGATGTCTTCATGAGATGAACAGTTTCCCCAGTTTTGAAGAGGTTGTCCTTTCAACATTGTATGTTCTTGGCACATTTGTCAAAACTCAATTGCCTATAAATGCATGGGTTTATTTCTGGGCTTTCTGTCCTGTTCCTTTCGTCAACATGTTGTTATGTGAGTACCATGCTGTTTTGGTTATAAGTGCTTTGTAATATATCTTGAAGTCAGTCTGATGCTTCTTTTTTTTTTTATTTTTTATTTTATTTTATTTTTTTGACAGGAGGTAGAATTTATTGGTGAGTGTTAAGAAGGGGCAACACAGTGGAAGCCCTGATGAGTACAGGGCCCACCACTCATCCAGAGGGCCATGACTGGGGATGTACTTGACCCCACAGCCATCTGGGATAAGCCACTCCTCATCCACCATGTCTTCAAATTCATCAGCATTGAACTTGGTGAAGCCCCACTTCTTCGAGATGTGGATCTTCTGGCAGCCAGGGAACTTGAACTTGGCCCTGCATAGGGCCTCAATCACATGCTCCTTGTTCTGCAGCTTGGTGCAAATGGACATGATAACTTGGCCAATGTAAACCCTGGCCACAGTGCCCTGGGCCTTTCCAAAGGCACCTCACATGCCTGTTTGGAGTCTACATTGGGGTAGTGTAAGGTCAGAGGCAAGAACATACATCTGAAAGCCTGTCTCCCAAGGTCCCTTAGAGCAACCCATACAAGAAATGGGCTACATACACTACCAAGGAAGTGGCTGTTTGCAGCCATTGCACATTGGGCCCCCATGAGGAAAGGAACTCAGTCGGCTTAATTGGCAGCAGCAGCTTTGTTCTTTTTACTTAAGATTGTTTGTGGCTATTTGGGGTCTTTTGTGGTTTCATGCAAATTTAAGAATTTTTTTTCATTTCTGTGAAAAATAACATTAGAATTTTAATAGTGGCTGCACTGAATCTGTAGATCACTTTGGATAGTATGGACATTTTAACAGTATTCTATTAAGCAATAAACACAGCATACCTTTCCATTTATTTGTGTGATTTAAAAACATTTCTCATCAGTTTTACAGTTTTCTGTATAAAAGTCTTTTACCACTTCAAATTTATACCTAAATATTTAATTTGTTGTTGCTGTTGTAAACAGGATTCTTTTCTTTATTCCTTTTCCAGGTAGCTTTTTATCAGTGTATAAAAATGCTACCAATTTTGTATGTTGATTTTGTATCCTGTGACTTTACTGGATTTATTTATCAATTCTATCAGCTTTTGGTGGAGTCTTTACAGTTTTCTCTATATAAGATCATGTTGTCAGCAAACAGACAATTTCACTTTTTCCTTTCCTATTAGGGTGACTTTTATTTATTTCTCTTGTCTAATTGCTCCAGCTCAGACTTCCAGAACTCTGTAGAAAAGTACTGAAAGTGGGCATCCTTGTCTTCTCCCTGATCCCAGAGAAAAGCTTTCAACTTGTCACTGTTGAGTATGATGTTAGCTACAGCTTTGTCATTTATGGCTTTTATTGTGTTGAGTTACAATTCCTCTATACTTATTGTGTTGAGAGTTTTTATCATGAAAGGGTGTTAAATTTTGTCAAATGCTTTTTCTCTTTCCTACTTCTATCACAGTGATAGATCTCAAATTCTGGCTTCTGGCTAAGCATTTATAGGTAAGTAGGCAGTAAAGATAATTATCATAGTACTTAAAGTCAAGAAAGAAACAATTTTGACTGAATATCAAGATACAGTGTGTTTGTGTGTGTGCGCGCATGTGTTATGGGTGTTTGTTTGTTGGGTTAGCTGCGAAAATGCTCCATCTGTCCACTTTCAAATAGCAATCTGTCAGATTGCATACTCCAAAGGACACAGCAACAGCTCTTATCTTGAATGCTATTTTGCAGTGTGATATTGCCACTCTGCCTTCTGAATCTGGGCAAATCCTGTGATCAATGGAAATACGGTAGAAGTGACACTGTCCAAATCCAGGAGTAGTCCTTTAGAGAAATTGGAGGCTTCTTCATGTTCCTGCCTCACACACACACTTCTTCTGTTGTTTTCTCTTAAATTCAGCAATGGTGCTATGAGAAGCCCATACATCAAAGAAAAGACAAGTGTAAGCACTTGGATCATAGCCCCAGAGGACTCTCAGTCGATAGAAAACATTGACTGGCATCCATGTTGGTGAAACAGCCTTGGACATGCAGCCTTTCCCAGACGATATGGGTCCAACCACTTCTGACTGCAAATGCATGAGCAACCTTAAGCGAGGACTGCCTCATTCATTCCCACCTACCCACTCAACTAGGAGAGATGATAAATCATCGTCTTAAGTCACCAAGTTTTGGTATCATTTGTTCAACAACAATAAACCAGAACACCCACTGAAAAGGCCATCTGACATTTTTGGAACATTCTCCCTAAATTTGGATAGATCTCCACATTCTAAATAGTGCCTTTTGAAAGTAGACTCTAGAAATATACATTTCTCAGTTTGCTTGTGGTTAGTGTACAGGCTTGTGAAAGATTCTTATGCACCTCCAGAACCCACACAGAGGTGAGCAACTTTAGGACAAAGGCTCTGTGTGGAGAATCCACTCCGTTCTAAGAGTGGTAGCTGGGGACATGAGGAAGATTTCAAAGAAGGTTCCTAATGCAGTATGTTTGTGGGTTCCTAGTGCAGTATGTTTATGGGTTGACAACAGCATGCAAGTTTAACCGCCTCAATGGGATGCAGCAGAAGGCCAGCTTGGGGTATGGCGTACAGCATTTTCCCTGCGATCTTATCTTTGAATATATTTCTTTGGCCATTCTAATAATTCTGTGATTAACTCAATAACCTTTAATTAACATATCATCTACTTAAATGATGTAGAGTGAATTCCATATTTTTTGGAGGTTAAGAAACCTAATTTCTATAGAAAACGTGATGCATGCATGACCCCCAGTTTAGGCACCTGAAGTGAGCAAAGGCATGGCAAGAGTTTTTCTGGTCACCTACAGCACAGTCAACAGAAATACTGATGAAAGAGACTTGCAGATTAAGTACAATATAAGGAATAAAGTTAATAATATTGAATTGTATTAGCGGTTTTAGTTAATGAGTAGATTTTAGCTATTCTTGTTGCACACAAGGAAAGTAACTGTGAGATAATCTGCTTCACTATAGTTGTCATTTAACTTTTGATGATATTCTATGGCATTATGTTCTAAACATCAAGCATACACAATAAAGTTTATTTATTTTTCTTTTAAATAGGAAGATACAACTTGAGGAGCCAGATGCAGCGGCTCACTCCTGTAATCCCAGCGTTTTGGGAGGCCGAGGTAGGTGGATCACTTGAGCCCAGGAGTTCGAGACATCTGGGCAACATAGTGTGACCCCAATCTTTACAGGAAATTAAAAAATGTGCTGACCATGGCACCTGCCTGTAGTTCCAGCTACTCAGGAGGCTGAAGTGGGAGCATTGCTTGAGCCTGGGAGGTGGATGCTGCAATGAGCTATGATCACACCACTACACTCCAGCCTGGGTGACAGAGAGAGAGCTTGTCTCCAAATACACAAAAAGATACAGCTCATTACCATGCTTTTGCAACACCTGGACTTCTCCAGTTGGTTCCCAAAATATGCTGTCAAATGGCTGGCTCAGCGCAGCTCACCAAGGCATTCCAAGAGCTGCTCGGTGCATGCTTCCTAGACCCGTAGTATCAGAAACAAATTTGCCTTGAAATTTGTTAAGAATGCAAATTCTCATGTCTCAGTCTGGACTTCTGAGACTCTTGAACTGTGTTCCAACAATTTTTGTTTTTCTAAATAAGGACATCAGGTAATTTTGAAGCATGTGTAAGTTAAAGAACCCTATTTTGCAAGGACTTCCTGTTGACCTGCTGAAAACATGTATTGATTCTGGTATGGTTCAGTTCCTCAAAACCCATATTGAAGGAAGTGCAGTGGCATTTCTTCATCTGGATTCTAATAAACTCAGTAATCACATTTTCTCCGAGATCAGTGACGATATTTCAGCAACTTAATTTGCAGATTTCTAACTCCCTATCAAATAAATTAACTAGATTAAGTGTGCTCTCAGCAATTCTTCACTTCCTTTGGGCTCCTCTTTTTTTATAACAGTGACCCTACTGTTAGTTTCAGAGGACATTGGCTCAAAGTATATCTTGGCTACTGCTTTTTTATTTTTTATTACTTTTAGTTTTTATTTTTTGAGACGAAGTTTTGCTCTTGTTGCCCAGGCTGGAGTGTAATGGTGCCATCTCAGCTCACAGCAACCTCTGCCTCCAGGGTTTAAGCGATTCTCCTGCCTCAGCCTCCCAAGTAGTTGGGATTACAGGCATGCGCCACCATGCCTGGCTAATTTTGTATTTTTAGTATAGATGGGGTTTCTCCATGTTGGTCAGGCTGGTCTCAAACTCCCGACCTCAGATAATGCACCCCCCTCAGCCTCCCAAAGTGCTGGGATCACAGGCGTGAGCCACCGCGCTTGACCCAGTTGCTGCTTTTTTAATCTTGGTGAATATTTTAGCTTTCCGTTTATGCTTAATAGTCCATTAATGTTTCTGTTTAATAGCAGAGCCTGCTTATTCATGTTACAACTAATCACAATTTTTATTCTGTAAGGTTTCCTTTTCATCATGGACTGCAGATAAAACAAATTCATATGTTCTTCCTGCACAAAGTTATATCATCTTTAAATGTTTCCTGACTTTCCAGTCAACATTTCATACGCTCTGCTCCTCCACCCTCAAACTATGCTGATGTCCCAAGGTTCAACCATCTCATAAGTATATAAGGTCCAGTGATGTTCATATTAAACTGTGCCAAAAAATTCTTTGTAAACTAAGGAGTTTTACATAAGATGCAGAGCCATCAGTAAGATTCAAGGATTTAATACTGGCAAAAATGCCCTTCTGATTTGAAAAAGGTGTTCAGGATGATATATTTAGACATATGATATATTAGACATATATTAAGCCCTCTGCCCCAAAGCACAGCAATTTTAAAAATCTGAATTCAAATGAATCTCTAATAACAAATATGTCAGGCACTGTGGCTGATGGTGGGGGAGGTTGTTTTGATCACATATGTCTATTACCCCCAGAAAAGCAGCTGTTTGCCTTAGTAAAATAACTGGTGTCCCTAATGTTATTAGTAAGTTATAGTAGATGAACGTGCCGATTCATGTCAGGCAGACTTGGCTTTAAAATCTGACTTTGTTCCTCCTTACTCCTGTGTGATTTGAGGAGTACACAGCAACTTTTCTGTACACAAGTTTTGTTCTGTTTAAACTGAAGACTCCTTATTTAAAAACACTATTCACTAGTCATCAAAGGCTGACAAACACAACGCAGCAAACATTCCTCCTCCCCGCCTCTGTAGGAAATTGCTCAGCATCTCTGTTCCAGGGGATACCAGGGTTCAGCCTTTCCTCAAGAATGTGACCCTCGAAATTTATTCCACCCATGTCTGCTTACACCAACAATCAATGTTGTCAATGACATCAGACAGCTAGTCCCAGACAGTTTCTGCTGTCTGAATCCTCTTACTTGTGTCTATTATTCTTTCCTGTCTTATCATTAATAACAGGATTATTTATTCCTTAGTATGTTTTTAGTTGCAAGACACAGAAGCCCTACTCAGAGAAACTTAAGAAAAAAAAAATGTTATGGACCTGAAGATTAAAGGCTTTCTTCTCTCTCTTTGTCTTCTTTCTTTGGTGTGGACTTATTATGGTGTGTTTTTTTCCATATTGCCCTGAGAAGCTCCCTATGTACATTGTATCAGCTAGGAACTAGAGCAGAAAGGATCATCTTTCCTTTTTTAATGTTTTTAAAAAAATTAACTTGTATGACTACATAGTAGGTATATATATTTATCGGGTACATGAGATATTTGAATACAGGTATACAATGTGTATTAATCCTGTCAGGGTAAAGGGGACATCCATCACCTTAAGCATTTAGCATTTCTTTGAGTTATGAATGTTCCAATTATACTCTTTTAGTCATTTAAAAATGTACAATAAGTTATTAGTCACTGTAGTCACCTGTTGTGCATTCAAACACTAGAACTTATTTATTCTAACTCCATGTTTGTACCCATTAACCATCCCCTTCATAGTTCAAGTGAAGATATAGGCGTGCCTCTTGGTTCAAGATGCCCACATAACCTACGTATGGTCAACCTCTGTGTCCAGCTTCTGAGACGGACGCTCCCTGGGAGACCTGGAAGGATGTGATCAAACACATGCAAACTACAGGGGCTGATAGTGAGAAAAGGTGGTTTTCAGAGGAAAATCTTCAGTGTTAACAGACAAAGAGGGAGTGATGGATGAACAGGCAAAACCAGCAGCTGTCTGGTGTACTGTGACTTATAACTTTTACCTGGGCTGATAAATAAATAATGGCTGGAGTCATTATGAGTGACAGCATTCTTGTTCTGCAGACACTATAAATCTGGATAAAATAAGCAATTCTCTGCTGAGATGATAGAAGAATCTATCTTCCGTCACTTTGCCAACACAGTGAGAATAGTGGACTCTGAATTCTTGATTTTTCTGGCTGCATCGTGAAGAGTATTTCCCGAAACCATCAATGAAGATGTACAGAAACAGTAGGAAAATGTGGGATAGGGAAATCAACGTAGGATGGTCCTCTTCGTCCCAGATATGATCAGTGTTCCTGCTGTGAGAAGTGTCTTCTTCACTAACCTTTTAAAATACGTTCTTAATATTATGGATGATTGAAATTTTAATGTTTTTTATTATTTAACTCACAAAAAATGTGAATATAATCTCTAGAGGAGAGGGAATTGGCCAAATATTATACTAAGAAGTGTGGCTAATTTATTCTGTAACTTGGCCATGAACAATATATGGGAATAAATGAATAACTCAAATAGAAGACTTTCTATCGGTCCGGGAAAACAGAAGGAATTTGAGTATTAATCTTTGGTCTGCTGCCAGTCTGCTGCATCAGGAACTATTTTTGATACATGAGAATGATGGAAAAATTGAGAGTTCTCTTGACTTTACCCCCAGTTCCTATAAAAAAGACAGTTAAACCACCAAAAGCTGTTTAAGAAAATATTTGCTGTCTCATTGCCAGATTAACAATTAAAAGTTCCTATCTATTCATAACGTCAAAGAGAAGATGAATGGAAGCAATAGTGTTGTCAGCCGCAGCAGAATCTGTATATCTGCATATTAGGACAGTAGCTGCATGTCACCAATACCCCAGCCATGCCTTTTTTTTTTTTTTTTTTTTTTTTTTTTTTTTTTTTTTCAGTATGGAGTCTCGCTCTATCCCAGACTGGAGTGCAGTGATGCTATCTTGGCTCATTTACAGCCTCCAGCTCCCCAGATTCCAGAGCTTCTGCCTCAGCCTTTCCGAGTAGCTGGGATTACAGGTGTGCACCACCCGCACCCAGATGAGTAGCTGGGATTACAGGTGTGCACCACCACACCAGATAATTTTTTGTATTTTAGTAGAGATGGGATTTCGCCATATTGGCCAGGCTGGTCTCGAAATCCTGACCTCAAGTCATCTGCCCACCTCTGCCTCCCAAAGCACTGGGATTACAGGCCTGAGACACTGTGCCCTGCTCCATGCCCCGTTTTTACCCTCACTCTATGTATGCCACTGCACTTTTGGCTTCTCATAGGCCTAAGAGTCTGCTTGATTATGGTCAAGGGAGAGGGATAGGCTCTAGGAGATTAACTTGTATGACCAGATGGCAGTAGTTTTGTCAGCAAACACAGATAAATGTTATGTAGAAAGATTATCTTCTCTTCCCTACACACCCTAACAAAAGTCATTTTTAACTATGCTTTGTATACAATGGTCCGTGACGTGAAAACTCCAGGTTATTTAACAAGAGTTTACCAAGGTTTACTTGGCTTGATCACTGCAAAGGGCAAATGTAAAAACTTGTTAGAGCGATGAGGTGCTTATGTTTCACCTCTTCAGACAACTTCTTGGACAGGCATCAAGGATGATCTCAAGCCACCTAGGACCATCAAAGAATAATTCTAATCCAGCATTTTGCAGGAATGTACATTCTATTTTATTTATTTTTCGAGACAGGGTCTCACTCTGTCACCCAGGCTGAAGTGCGGTGATGAGATGTCAGTTCACTGCAAACTCTGCCTCCTGGATTCAAGTGATTCCTCTGCCTCAGCCTCCCGAGTAGCTGGGACTACAGGTGACTGTCACTATGACCAGCTAATTTTTGTATTTTTAGTATAGACGGGGTTTCACCATGTTGGCCAGGCTGGTCTGGAACTCCTGACCTCCAGCAATCCACCCGTCTGGATCTGCCGGAAAATATACATTTTAAAATATTAATGTAAAGATTAAACATGGAGAAGAAGACAGTATTGTGTTCTGTCTTCTTAAAATAGAAAAGCTGACTTTGGCCATTCCTTCGACTCAGGAAGTCCATTATTCAGGAAAATCAAACGGTGTAATGGTAGGTCTCTTTAGTAAAAGGAAAAGTTAAAGTAATGTTCATCTCTAGTCTACTCTAGGCTTTATAGGACAAAGATAATACATGTTGCTGTCCAGGTATACACAGCAAGGCGGGGCCAATGAAAGGGATTTAAGGCAGAACTTCAAGCTGGGTAAAAGGAAATTTCACCTGCCTAATACCTTATATAACTTTACACACACACACACACACACACACACACACACACACACACATATGAGGTTGATCTGTCAAAGAACAATGTGAGTTCTGTACAGGGAGGGAAACAGCCTGCAGCTCCAATATTAATAATTACAAACAACTCACATTATACTAGTACATAATATTCACAAATGTGCTTCAAGTTTCCATTAAGAAAACAAGCAAAAATATGTGTATTTCCTGCTTTTATAGATGTGTCACATAATGAGTCAATAGAGAACAGTAGTCTCAGATCACATGAAGATATTAGACTGGAGATTGGGAATATTTCTGATATTAAAAGAGACCTTGTCAATATTCTAAGAGACTCAGTTTTCAGTGAAAAAAAAAAAAGCATGTGATAATAAATCTAATTGCACCCTAAAGGTATTACCTGGTTATTTACAAGTAACAATAGAAAATGAGTCATTGTATGTAAGTAATAAAATTAACCTTTCTGTATATTTGTATGTTGTCATATATGTGTGTGTATATATATATAATTTTAAAACATAATTCATAAAAAGCATCTATACACTAGGAAGAATGTAAGCCATGATGTCTGTTTTAAAGTTCTAAGAACACACAAATATAATAAATTTAACTTATTTATAAATTAAATATAAATACAATTAAATATTTTTGTCATGGAAATACAGATAAATAGTAATGCTTTACTTCAGTCGAGGTCTTCTGAATTTTAATGCAGTTTACAATTTTGGTGAATATTTAGATAAATTTTTGATTACGTTTATAAAACTTAAAAAGTATTGAGGGAAAAGGCACAGCAGTGAGCCTGGCGTCAGATCAGTGAAGGCAGGTGAGACAAAGTAGGTCTTCATTCGCCCATACCCACAACGCAGAGCCTGAGTCATGGAGGTGCATGTATGTGACTCAGTTTTGAGGATTATAGAAATTGAAAGTGGATATGTGTAGTGTGTGTGCACATAACATAAAACAAACAACAAGATTTCCTACAAGCTACAGTAACCAGGATAGTGTGCTATTGGCAGAAGAAATAATAAATAGACGAGTAGAATGTGATAAAGAGCCCGAAACTGACTCACAAGTATAATTTTTGAAAATAGTTTCAGAACAGTCATACAGGAAAAGGAAAGTCTTTAATAAACAATGCTGGAGTACCTAGACAGTCACAAGAAAGGAAGCAAAAAAGGAAGGAAAGAAGAGAGGAAGAAAGGAAGGAAGGAGGGGAAGGAAGGGAAAGAAGGGAAGGAAGGAACGAGAAAAAGAAGGAAAGAACCTGTAACACACCGTTCACATCCTAGTGTCTGACAGCACTGTAATATGACTATAGTAAACCATATTATATTCTATAGTTTCTGGTAGCTAGGAGGAGGATAGTGAATGACAAATGTTTGAGATGATGGATATGCTAATTACCTAGATCAGATCACTATACATTTTATGTATGGAAGCTTCATGGGCCCAATGAATATTCACAAATACTATTTGACAATTTTAAAAAATAAAAATACAATTGCATATAGCAACCAAAATTTAACTCAAGGTGGATCAAAGTCTACTGTAAAAGATAAAATTATAAAGTTTTATGATTTGAGGGCAGGCCAAGTTTTCTTAGAAAAATCCCAGTAACCAATAGAAATCTTTAAAAGAGACAAAATTTTAAAATAACTTTATACATATTAAAGAAAACCACAAAATGTCTGTTCCTTGAAAGGCACTGTTTAGAAAATGAATAGGCAAATCACAGACTTGGAGAACATAATTGCAAAACATGCATTTAACAAAGAACTGGTACCTTATATATATATACACACACACACACCCTGTATATATACACACACACACATATACACCATATATACACACACCATATATATATACATGTCATATATATGCACATTGTATACACATACATACACCGTATACATATATATATGCCTCAAATACATGTGCTGTGAAGGTTTCACAAATGGGGGAAGTAAATTTGAAATTGAATACCACCTTAAGACTTCATGGTTGGAAAGTGTCAAAGGCAAGGATTGAACTTGAGTATTTTTTGTCTCTTCAGAGCTCTTTATACCAGAGCCTGAGGCATGGAAGTGGATGCATGTAACTTATTTCTGAGGTGATGCCCAGAAGAAAGCGTAAGAGAATAGGGAGGAAAAGATCTATTACAAGGCGATATAAATATGTGATAGCAGTATATATAAACTTTCACAACACAGCATTTTAAAAACACAAAAGGAATGTGTGAAATAGTTGAAATGATGCTTTCCAAATAGAAGCTGCATGAATGTCCAGTGAGCACGTGAAAAAGTGCTCCAATCACTAGTGATCAGCGAAATGCATATTAAACCCACAATTAAATATGCACCATTAGAATACCTAAAGGAATAAAGATTTGTAACAGAAAAAGTTTACAAGGATATGGAGAGAATGGAGTACGAGGACATCGTTGGTGGCAGTGTGTCATGGCACGTGACTTTGAAAAAGGCCTGGCAATTTCTTATCAATGAAACATACAACTAACCTATCACCTAGAAATGTAACTTAGGTATTTGCACAAGAAAAAGACAATATACAATTACACATACACTCACAAGTTGTTCAAAAATGTCTGCAGAAACTGTATCCATAAGATCAAAACTTGGAAATCGCCAAAGTCATCGCCAACAGGGGAGGAAGCACGCTAGTTATATTTATCCAATTTAGCATAAAAAAGTGACACATTGCCGATATGCACAAGAACATTCCTGGATTGTGGTTGCTGAAGCTTGGTTTCATTTTTCATGATAATTTTTGACAGCATGGATTTAAAATTTACAAATCTGTCAGTCTTACTCTTGGAAGTTCCTCCAGATTTCTTCTGTAGATAAATATTCCTTTAATGGCTTACAGTTCTATAGCTTCATTTTCACTTAAAAAAAACTCATCTGTAATATGGTGAATGCTTTAGGGAAAGAGTCTAATTTCACATTTTTTCATATAATTAATTGTTTTTCTCAGCATCATTATGAAGGAGCTTTTTCCCCATGTATTTGTAATATGTTTTTATCATTTACAAAATTCACATTCACTAAGTTTGTTGTTGGCCTGTACTTGCTCTATCCACTGTCTTTTTAACTGTGGTCATTGTAGTGTTTACCCAATATCAGATGAATCTTCTACTTGTGTCCACACTGTACTAAACTTCATGTACTTTCAGATTAATTAACAATTGCAATCATTTTATATACATATTTTTTAGTAACTTTATTTTCCTGTTACCACCTTTTAAAAGATGTCAGTTTTGTTAAAACTGCTGATAAAGAAAAGAAGACTAAAATACAGTAGCTTGATTCCAGGGAGGTTTTTAACTTACTGAAACTCAGTACTGTATACTTGAACTTACAGCACTTTAATCATGCAGAAATTTAGTAGAATATAATGTAAACATTTATAAAATATAGAAAATTTTGGAGGGAGGCTCCAAGATGGCCGAATAGGAACAACTCCAGGCTACAACTCCCAGTGTGAGCGACACAGAAGATGGGTGATTTCTGCATTTCCAACTGAGGTACCAGATCTATCTCACTGGGGCGTGTCAGAGAGTGGGTGCAGGACAGTGGGTGC